GTGCGGTGAGCCTGAACAAATTTATTGTGTCGTGTCGTGGACGAGGCGGGGGCGGTGAGAGTGAGACAGGGCGATCGAGGCGGTGCGTGTTGTGTTGTTGTTGTTGAATTCATGTGTTGTTCGGAGTAGAATCAAAGTAGAATGAAACAACTTGAAAGCAAAAATGTGCATCCGATCGGGATCTTTTTTGAAAAGCATAGCAGACCATGTGACGGGTGATTGGTCTGCTGGTGCAGCGGACCTCGGGGGTATCGGGCCGGCCGAGCCAGCTTGCTTGTTGCCACCACCACACCACCACCCGCAAACAGAGCAATGGCCGTTGGCCCTGTCCTCGCCGTCGTTCCCGACGTCCTCGACACCCAGGATGCCCTCAAATTATGGTCCCGTATGTCTCATGTGCTAATTTCGTCATACTTGACTGATCCAATTTTTTGAAACCAAAAAAAAGTGTTTTCCAAGTCCAAGGACACGCTGCAGGACGGCCCTCGTCTCGAATATATTTCCTGGCGTCTCTCGTTTCAGCAAATATCCCGCAATGCAAGTGTCCGAACACCTCTTGACGGCCCGTGGCCGCCAACACCGGAATCTGTGTGCAGCGATGATACGGGTGGCTCAAAATCTACACACTCACACACCAGTGGCAGCAGCTCGGAAAATAGCGCTGTCTCTGTGTCCCCGTTCTTCCAGATCGCTCCCCGCCCACGTATGTCGCCATTTTCGCAAAGTGTGCGTCGAATCGCACTGATCGATCCACATAGCGATGCCGACCCCCCAGCGCCCTGCAGGGCGGATCATCCGCGATATGGTTACCCCGGGCTTCACCCAGAAGCTCATTCAACAGCAGAAGGACTCCAAGAAGCAGCCCCAGAAGGAGGGTTACCCAACCCCCGCATCCAGCACCTCTTCCCCCTCTGCCTCCTCATCCGGCGTCTGCATCGCCGTATCACCTGCCCAAGAACCTCTGGAGCCCGCGGTACCCGTCCCCCGCGTCAACATCGTCACCGCAACCCCGAACCTCACTCCCCATCCCACTCCCCCAGCTACCCCACTCCTCGCCGCATCCGCACCGGCCCCCCGCGCGGGCACTATCCCCGTCGGCCGCTGTACATCTGTCTACTCCGCCATCGTCCACGGTGAGTTCTCAGATGCGCCGCGACTCCCCGGGTCCGTTATTCCTGTCACGATCCGCAACACGCGGTATGGGTTCCCCCGTCTTTCCCCCTGCCGACTCGGCGTCTACACGCACAGACACGTCGGCGTACGCGCCCAAATCGACGCACAACCTCCCTCTTGGTGGTACGGTGGGTACCGAGACCGTGGCGAAAAAGACAGCGCGGGGGACGTTTTACTTGGAACCCGGTGCCAGTGGGAGCTCGCCCAGCTCTTCGCGCTCGAGCAACTCGTACGGGAATGACGGGGAGCATGGATCCGACTCGACTTCGAGTGGAAGCAGGAGTGGAGGCAGCGAAAGCTCGAGAGAGCGCGGCGAGGGCCCTAGTTCGTTCGTCCACGGTCCGGAGCGCGGAGTGGGCAATGCGCGTGGCCGTGGCCACCGACAGAGGGCCAGCAATGGGCGGCGGAGTCCGGATTCACCGCCAGAAACGCATGAAGAATCGACAAACCCACCAATACCGCAACCAGCGCCGTCTGCGAAGCAGGTGCAGCAACCTCTATCCTCGAAACCCACGCGTACAGCGTCGGCATCGTTCCTCGGTGGACTTGGTTTAGGGTTGAAGGTATGCTTTTTTTCCTTCATTGCAATACATTCACAGCCTAAGTGATTTTCTAGATGACTGCATCGCCACAATCAAATGGCCGACACGCCACCGACGCCGACCGGGACGACGATGCGCGCTCAGTGAGTTCGCTCACCACGTCGTCATCGCACGTGCAGGTGCGTGTACGCGGCAAGCAACCTGCGCGGCCATCGATGCGGAGTCAGCACTCGCGGTCGCGGTCCAGGAAGGGAGGGACGCGTGCGGCGTCGCGCGGGCATGGGCATGCGCGGGAGGGAAGCACCTCGCACCGTCCGCAGCGGCAGGCGCCTAATGCGCTGGGGCTGCCGTCGGATTTGGCGGCGGCGGTGGCGGTGGTGGAGCGCACGATGGTGAACGGGAGGCGGGTGGAGGTCGCGACGACGACTGATGAGGAGTGGAGTGACGATGAGGATGAGAGTGTGGTGGACGGGGCGAGCGTTGAGGGCGAGTTGGAGGAAGAAGAAGAGGTGGAGGAGGGGGGAGACGAGGAGGATGGCGGGTGGGAGGACGAGGACGAGAGCGAGGCGGCGCCCAATGTGGCGAAGAATGCAAAGGCCCCACCGCCTTCATTGCAGCAGCAGCAGCCGGCGCCAAATTTGGGGCATGCGCGGGGGAATACTACAGGTGGCAGCGACTTACGTCAGTTGCCCAGTCGCCCGCATCGGTCGGCCGGACACCTCCCTGCATTGGCGAACGCCGCGCCGACGAAGCACCACCATACCGCGTCCGCGCAGAACGCACGCACCACCCGCGCGCTCAATGCCACGATGAGCGCCACGACGCTCTCCAGCGCGATGCATGAGGCGCAGCGCCAGCGGCAGCTCTTCGCCAAGGCGCCGCGCCACAGCTACGAGAACCTCACCGCGTTGGCGGGTACGCGCCCCAGCGGACTTACGCTGCTGCTTGGTGGCCGGCCCCAGCGGGTCGCAGAGCAGTATCACCAGCAGCAGCACCAGTTGCAGCAGCTGGACGGTAGGCCGCCACAGCGACAGTCGAGACCTGGTGGGCTTGCGGGGCTTGGGTTGATGATGAGCGCAGCGCGTCCACCGACGGGTCCTGGGGGGGCGGAACTTTCCCCCATCCCACCCACGCCTGCGACAGCGGCGTTGCAGCAGCATCACCAGCAGCCTCCGGCGCCGAGGCGACAGTCACAGTTGCCGCCTACACCGCCGCCGCCGCAACAGAAACCGCCATCGCAGCCCCAGCAACAATCCCAGGCTGGGCCACCGCCTCGCCGACCGAATATGCCGCGCGCGATGTCGACGCCGCATTTTGGTACGGGGCTGAGTGGCTCGGTGGGGAAGAGCAGCGTTGCAGGGCCTGTAGTGTCGGGCGTGGGTGACGGGCCAGACCTCGTCGCTTCCCCTGCGGCTGGGGGGAGCACGACGACGCAGAACGGGAGCGCGTCGGGGCGGAGTGGGTACCGGCCCAAGGGCCCGCCGGCGGGAATGGAGTACGATGACGAGGAGGATGATGACTCAGACGCGTCGGGGCGCGGGAAAGGAAAGGGGCGCGCGCACGATGAAGGCATGCAGGTTTCGAAGAGCGTCGCCCAGGAGAAGTTGCGGGTTCTTGCGCAGAGGACCGCACCTTCGTCGCGCGCCAAGAACGGCAGTGGAGGCACGAATGGAGTGGAGTCGGCCGAGGCGGAACGCCGTCGGCTGTATGAGCAGGCGGGCGATGTGCCGTGGGTTGCTGCGCCGAAGGACCAGAATGCGAGCGACGACTATGTTCCGCAACCGCCGCCGGATCGCTCGATGTCGACCGCGCCCGTCGGATTCCCGTACAACCTCCCTGCTCCCGCGCCGCCGTCGACGCCGCGCACGACGCGCCAGCACATGCTGCTCAACGAAATGTCGGAGAGCTTGCGACACAACCTGCTTTGGCAGCGCAGGATTAGCCGCACAGATATGACTGGGCCGCCGCCGCGTCGGACCAAGAGCACTGTTAATGTGACGACTGCGCAGGGTGGGCGGCAGCCGGAGAAGAGTCTCGTGCGGGTAACGCCTCGGGCACCTGGGGCGGAACGGCGCGATGCGACGCTGCCCCCGATGGACCCACCCGTGCCCGCAGGTGCGCCAAAGAAGAAGCTTGTGCGGAATTATAGCATGGGGGACACTTCGACCTACCATTATTCGGGGTGGTAATTGTTTCTGTCTTTTCTCAATCCTTCTGATGTACTGTACGACCCCAACATACTCATTGTCGCTTTCCTTATCGCTCGGTTCACGTGTATTATCAGCATTTTCTTTTCTGGCTTTTAGCGTACATATATAATCGGCAACTGAGAATTTATCACTGCATTGGGTACTTGTTTGTATTTCTCTTGAGTGTTCGATAACAAAGCTGTTTGGGAAATTCAAGAGTACATGCATATATTCCACCGACAGTAGTTTGGGCGGGGCTGCACACCTATTGATTGTCTTCGATCTTTGGCGTCTTTGAGCTGAGGCAATCTGTCCTCGATTAATGCCTGCTAGCCGTAGTGTCTATTTCATGTTCAGCTCAGTCTCTCTTGACAGACGATCTATAATATGTATCCGCTGAGGCGAAGAGTGCTCGCGCAGCAAGCAAAACAGCTTGCATAATCCTCCTTAATTTCGGAATTTTGAAGGAGGGAATCGGAACATACCACCCCCCGGGCAACCCTGATACCTCCTTTACTAACTTAAGTTACACCTTGACTCGTGAGCTAGAAAAATTGACTCCGTAAGCTGCTCGCAAGTTTCGTCCGGCCTTGTTCCTCGGCCGACTCCTCTTCCTCGCCCCGATCTTCAACATACTAAGTGCAGGTTTCTTGGTGTCGAAAGAAAACACAAGGCTGAATGAAAATGGGCCTGACTCGGATTGCTGTTACGCACTTTCCAGTAAATTTAAAGCGGCCCTTGAATTCCCAAGTAGTTGGCTTCGTATATCTATACCCTAGAAGCGATAGGACAGGTTGGATGGCCGAGTGGTCTAAGGCGCTAGAATCAGGTGAAGCCTCATCTAGTCCTCCGGGGCGTGGGTTCGAATCCCACTCCAATCACTTTTGTTTTATCGTGATTCATGATCTACTAGTAGTCAGTGACCTTCCTATTTTCTATGTCCTATATATATAGTATCTTTGCACTGCTTTCCCTCGAAGAAACACGAAAGGGGACATTGTCCCTTGGAAAGTTTAGTAGTGTGAAAGTGAAGTCTGGGCTCTTCTTTCTTTGAAAGAAAATACTTTGCGAAAGGAGGCAAAAAGAGCACAAAAGATGATTGGAGTGGGATTCGAACCCACGCCCCGGAGGACCAGATTCCCAATTGGAAATGATGCTCATACGTGTAAAGCTGATCCTTAGTCTGGCGCCTTAGACCGCTCGGCCATCCAACCATGATTGTGGGCCCCTCACAAATGCCATGTATGTGGACACTTTGCTGCTGCTCAAATAGTGCTCTGCAAGAGTGAACAAATCTGCCAGTCTGAAATCTTAGTGCTGGCCACAATATGATATGAATATGATACAGCAAAATCATATTCATATCCATATTGTATTCACCATTATTCAGATGGACTGAATATATTCAAATATATTCAGTGTCACCAACTTTGACCAGAAGCCAGTTTCAGGAAGATTTAGGAGTCAACCAAAGCATTTGAGCACCATCTCTAACTCAATTCCAGAAGCATAGACTCACCCGATTTTTGTGCATAGGCAATTCAACCTCGGTGTGAGGTAGAAATTAAGTTACCCTTGAAGATCTCAGAAATGTCGTTATTCATCAAGTGTTCGATTTGTTCCACTGGAATTGCCTTTCTAGGAATTCAGCCCCAATGAAAACCCGCTATGCCGGGTTATGCCCGAATCTGCTCGAATCTGTCGCACTTATGCTCTGATCTGCCAAAATCTGCTATTGATTAGATTAAGTCCTTTTCACGTGGTAATTCTCAGCTAAACTTTGCTTCTGCTTTCTTTTTTGCTCTTTCATCCACTTTGCGTGAACACCTTGGCTTTGCCTCTCCTTCTACCAAGTCATCTGTGTCCCATCTCTGTTAGTGCTTTCTGCCTGTCCTTTGTGCAACAAGCTGAGTGCTATATGCAAGTATCCTGTGCCGGCGCCGCTGCCACTGTTCCTCCTTGTCCTGTCACCAAATGCTTTATCAATGCAATTGCACTGTCTACTGCCACGGAGGCGCTCACCCGCCCATCTCTCTTGCTACATATACACACCATGTTATATCCGAGTCGTCCAGGAGGTGGTACGGGGGATATAGGGCCAGTGGAACTAACAACAGATACGAAGCGGAGCGGCAGGCCGGACAGAACAGAACCGGAGTCTGGAGTCGGAGCTGGTGAAAGCCGGACTGGATGACGCTACGCCACAGAGGGGATAATTGGGCGAACATTACTGCAAGATATCGTCGGAGGGAGAGAGATGATAGAGGCAGAGCTCCGGCGGAGTGTCAGAGCGGAACGACCAGACTACTTCACGAGGAACGGGGTGAAGCAAGGTTTATCATAAAACTGAAGTACAGGAGGATGTAGAACGTCATTAAATACTAGAGCTCCTTAATGTAATAAGAAAAGGAGATATGTTAGAAACCATGCGGACATAACAATAAAGGTAAGTCCGGAAAGGACCCATGATTATCCCTTGATAGGTTGAATACCGATTTCGGCCAAAAATTTGAGTTTTATCCGAACTAATTATTTGTTCCCACGGTTTCTGAGGTAGCCAAAACACCTCGTTTCCCAAGGCGGTCACTTTTGCTGTTTTTTTTCCTCAAAAATTTCTCAAAATCTTATCCGAACTCTGTATTCGACCTACCCAGGGATAATCATGGGTCCTGTCCGAAAGGGGAGGAAGAAGTCAGGTGACAAAAGGAACAATGTTGAAACAATAAATGAGAAGTCGGAGGACTGTTATATCCGAGTCGTCCAGGAGATGGTACGGAGGGATATAGGGCCAGTCGAACTAACAACAGATACAAAGTGGAGCGGCGGGCCGGACAGAACGGAACCGGAGTCCGGAGTCGGAGCTGGTGAAAGGCGGACTGGATGACGCTACGCCACAGAGGGAATAATTGGACGAGCGTTACTGCAGGATATTGTCGGAGGGAGAGGGATGATAGAAGCGGAGCTCCGGCGGAGTGTCGGAGCGGAACGACCAGACTACTTCACGAGGAACGGGGTGAAGCAACGTTTATCATAAAACTGAAGTACAGGAGGATGTAAGACAAGATTAAATACTAGAGCTCCTTATTGTAATAGGTAAAGGAGATATGTTAGAAACCATGCGGACATAACAATAAAGGTAAGTCCGAAAGGGGAGGAAGAAGTCAGGTGACAAAAGGGACGATGTTGAAACAATAAGTAAGAAGTCGGAGGACTTAGGATAATAAGGAATGTGTGGGATGGCGTCTTGCCATGGTGTCAGATGGTGGGAGTTCGTTCCGATGTTTTGTCGGAGCTCCGATCGTTCCGTTACTCCGGCGGTCCGATGCGCTCTGAGAAGACGGAGCGCGATCGGAGCCGAAGGGACCGATCAGAGTAGTTTGTTGGAGGTCTTGATGCATGGATATAACAGTATCCCCCTCTAGGGTTCGACTCCCTAGGCGAACGTCCGATGGTAGAGGTCCGATGGGAGAATTCGGAGGATAACTGTCGGAGTCGTAAATAATGGATCGTAAGGCATAAACAATGGTCTTTGGATTTTTCGAATATAATTTTGAATTTTTTCGGCTCTGCTCGTTCCGTGGCCGGGACTGTATAGTCACGTGATGTGATGCCGTAAGTTTGAGTCAACAAACATTTTCTCTCCGCAACCACCACCTGCCCCACTCAACACACACCGGAACACCCAAGCAAAATGTCCAATACCAACAACACCACTGGAGGTGCCGCCGGATCGAGCAATGGAGCGGGGAGCAGTGGTGGAGACGGCGGTGAGGGACGTCGGGACAAGGGCAAGGGAAGGGTGACGTCAGCGCAGGTGCGCGCCGAGAACGAGGAGCGGGAGGTGGAGAGGGTCCGTGCCAGAGACGGGGAACGGGAGGATCGCCGCGCGGAGCTCGCGCGACAGATTCGGGCAGCGGCGGAGGCGGACGAAGAAAACATCGCGCGCATCGCGGCGCAAGTGAGTGGTGTTAGGTTCAGCAACGACTGGTGGCTCTGGGGTGCCAGAGAACAGCAGATCGTTGGCAGCGGGGGTTTCGGAGCCTGCAGGAGCACTGAGAGGCGTTCCGAAGAACCCGCGAGCACAGTCGGCCCAATTCCCTTGCTCCAGAGTACCGACAGGCTGCTCTGGAGTCGCGCTTCCGGCCAGAAGTACCGCCTGCCAGTGGTTGGCATCCAGCCGAATCACTAGGGAGCGGAGTCCGGCGTAGCTGGACGGATACGTGATGAGATCGTCGAGCTGCATGGTGATACGGAGTGGAAGCGCGGAGTAGAGAGCGTGGGAGACTGCGGAGTCATTCCAGGCCATGAACGGAGTGAGAGCCTCAAACTCCTTGAGAAATGGCCCAATTGGATCTCCGTGTTTCATCCGAAGGCGTCAGAGTTCGTAGTCCGCGTCGGCGTGACGACTCCGACGTCCGAACACATCCAGGAATTCCCCGATGAACGTGGAAAAGTTTCCATGCCAGGAAAACTCTTCGACACGGCCCAATTCGTTGAAAAGCTCAGCCGCCTGCCCCTTTAGGAAGTGGAGCATGAAGGCGATCTTGTCATCGTCCGAGGCGTATGTCCGAGGACGCCCGGAGAAGTGCTGTTATATCCAAGTCGTCCAGAAGATGGTACGGAGGGATATAGGGCCAGTCGAACTAACAACAGATACAAAGCGGAGCGGTGGGCCGGACAGAACGGAACCGGAGTCCGGAGTCAGAGCTGGTGAAAGGCGGACTGGATGACGCTACGCCACAGAGGGGATAATTGGACGAGCGTTACTGCAGGATATCGTCAGAGGGAGAGAGATGACAGAAGCGGAGCTCCGGCGGAGTGTCGGAGCGGAACGACCAGACTACTTCACGAGGAACGGGGTGAAGCAACGTTTATCATAAAACTGAAGTACAGGAGGATGTAAGACAAGATTAAATACTAGAGCTCCTTATTGTAATAGGTAAAGGAGATATGTTAGAAACCATGCGGACATAACAATAAAGGTAAGTCCGAAAGGGGAGGAAGAAGTCAGGTGACAAAAGGGACGATGTTGAAACAATAAGTAAGAAGTCGGAGGACTTAGGATAATAAGGAATGTGTGGGATGGCGTCTTGCCATGGTGTCAGATGGTGGGAGTTCGTTCCGATGTTTTGTCGGAGCTCCGATCGTTCTGTTACTCCGGCGGTCCGATGCGCTCCGAAAAGACGGAGCGCGATCGGAGCCGGAGGGACCGATCGGAATAGTTTGTCGGAGGTCATAATGCATGGATATAACAGTATCCCCCTCTAGGGTTCGACTCCCTAGGCGAACGTCCGGTGGTAGAGGTCCGATGGGAGAATTCGGAGGATAACTGTCAGAGTCGTGAATAATGGATCGTAAGGCATAAAAAATGGTCTTTGGATTTTTCGAATATAATTTTGAATTTTTTCGGCTCTGCTCGTTCCGTGGCCGGGACCAGCTCACCACACCGGAACACCCAACCAAAATGGCCAACACCAACAACACCAGTGGAGGTGCCGCCGGATCGAGCAATGGAGCGGGTGACAAGCGTGTGGGAAGCAGTGGTGGAGACGGCGGTGAGGGGCGTCGGGACAAGGGCAAGGGAAGGGCGACGTCAGCGCAGGTGCGCACCGAGAACGAGGAGCGGGAGGCGGAGAGGGTCCGTGCCAGAGACAGGGAGCGGGAGGATCGTCGCGCTGAGCTCGCGCGGCAGATTTGGGCAGCGGCGGAGGCGGACGAAGAGAATATCGCGTGCATTGCAGCGCTCCTCGCAGAGAGCGAGGCAATCCCCAAGGACGAGCCTGAGCGCTACCGCGAGTTCCAGGCCCGCAACCTGGACTTGGTTCCCACCTCATAAGGCCAAGATAACGTGTTGTATCCCGGGGAGATACCGCAGATGCAACACGTTGTCTTCTAGGAGTCCATATATAGTAACCACGGGCCCGCGCGGACCAGAACGGGCTCATCCTACGCGCCATTCCGCGCCCTCGGCATGGCTCAGAAAGCTCGGCACCTTTCCTCAGCCCTCGGCACCCCGCCCGCCGCGCAAAAAAATCCGAAAAATCGATTTAAATTGAATAAATACTACAATCAGCCCCTATTTCGACAGCCGAAGACATGTCCCCTTTGGGAACAGAAAGACAAAAGCACTCAATCCTCGTCGACCTCCCCGCCCATTAGGAGCTCCTCGTCGCTCTCGATATCGCCACGCTCGTCATCGTCTGCATCATCGTCG